TATATAATTAACTTCTGTTTTAGGTATCAATATGTAGAAGAAAGTTGTGTGAGGTATTTGTAAAAATAAAATAACAGACATTTCATATTTGCTGTGTGATCATGTTGGAGTAGTGAATGAGATCGTGAAGGCGGGGTTGATGCAATTTACTTGGCATCTGAAACTACATTTCCTCAAAGGTATTTTGAATCTGAAAAGGACTTGACTGAGTGAGAAGTAGTGTTGAGAGCTCAGCAGACAGTTTCAGTGTAACTTTCAGTTTCACCAGTTGTTTGCTTTGGTGCTGCTGAGAGCCAGCAGAAGTCATGGGTGGGGTGGGGAGGTGTGCTCCGTGATGAGGAAGCTCAGCTTGGAGACAACGCCCAGAGGCGTTTCTGGTCCCAAAATGTGGTTCTAGTCCCAATCTGTCATTTTTGCTCACCTGCCTGCAGCCTCAGGACACCAAAGGATTTCTCAAACATGCATGAACGAGTCAAAGTAAGACTCGGGGCATGTTTTTGATGAAAGGATAACACTATAACATGATATGAAACCCAAAGTTGATTTTACATGATATAACCCCTTTTAAGGAAAGGTATTAACTTCATGCAACAAATGTGGAGTTAAACTTCTTTGACCTACTGAGTATTTGTCTGTCCATTTTTGAACACTAGGGCGAGGTGTGTTTGCCACTGTCAATTTCCAGAAAGGAGACTTTGTAGTGGAATACAGAGGGGAATTAATACATTATGAAGAATCACAAAGGAGGAGAAGAATATATCACCACAAAGCTGCTGTCTTCATGTTTGACTTTTATTGGAATGATAAACAGTGGTGGTAAGATTTTAAGCAAGATAAACAAAAGTGTGGTTAAATGTTTGCCTTCAGAGTTGATATACCTTTTTTTGATTTACATTTTTTAATGAGTTTAATTTTCTTTTTCTTTGAAGCATTGATGCATCACTAGAGGATGGCAGTTTCGGCAGACTTGTAAACGATGAACACATAAATCCAAACTGTAAAATGAAGAAAATAACAGTGAATGCCAAGCCACACCTCTGTCTCTTTGCATTACGGGACATCAATCCCGGTGAAGAAATAACGTACAATTATGGAGGAACTGACTGGCCATGGAGACAGGTTTGTAAATTTTGATTTAGACTTGGTGTGTTTTTTACATATTTAACCAGGCTTGAGATTTCCAAATTAAAATTTCCAACTCCTCTGATAATTCCAGGTTGTCAAACCATTGCCTGAGTCTAGTGATGCAGTGGAATCTGAAGAAACAGATCATCCTCCAACAAAGTCTGCAG